ATATATATATATATATATATATATATATATATATATATATATATAGAAACCTTTATTGCTGTGTGTAAAAGTACAACTGCTTCATACTGCTATGCCGCATTAGTTATTTTCATCTTAACTACTTAGGTCACTGCTAAATTTTTGTTCCAACAAATAACTCTAGTAAATAGCACAAATCCTTGTGCTGTTTTTCTCTAATTATTTTCTCTATAATTATTAGATAGATTATACCCAGTTGTCAGATTATTCCCTAGAAATGTTTGTAACAGTTGGTTATTTCTTTAAAATTCTATTTTTTTTTTTTTGAACAGGGTCTCTCTATGTAACCTATGCTGGCCTTGATCTCAACAATCCTCTTGCCTCTACTTCCTGATTGCTAGATTATAGGCATTCACCACCATACTCAAGTACAAATTCTTTTTACATACAAATCTTCCCTTATTATGAAGTATCCAAGATATGCAAACTCACCTAATGAGAACCTGGGATGGACATAGTAATTTCTATCTTACAAGATTGCTCTGAGGATTACATGATTTATAACAATCTTATGGTGTTTTTCAAGACAGGGAAAAACAGATCTAAAATATGTAAACAAAGAAATTATCGTTGTTCAATGACAAATATTTCAGCATTGAAGTTCTCCTAAAGTACTTCCTGAGGATGTCTGGGATTGCAGTGTGCAACCCCATGCATATATATGTATAGAGATAGATATATCTTATACACACACACACACAAAATGCCATTTTAGAACAGTGTCTGGGATATTAAATAGTTCTCAGTTCCATTTGGCTTCTTTTTATAATACCATTGTATGAAGTTTAAACATACAGTAATATTTCCCAGAGGACTCTCAAGTGAAGCTGTTTCTGTAAGCCCTTGCTTCCAAACCCTTCGTTGCCATCTCTCTCTCTCTCTCTCTCTTTGGTGGTTGTGGGGCTTGAACTCTGGGCCTGGGCGCTGACCCTGCACTCTTCAGCTCAAGGCAAGCGCTCTACTGCTTGAGCCACAGTGCCACTTCCAGTTTTCTGGATGTTCCTGCCCGGGCTGGCTTTGAACCACTATCCTCAGATCTCAGCCTCCTGAGTAACTAGGATTACAGGTGTGAGCCACTGGCTCCCGGCTCATTGCCATCTCTTATCCTGCATTTCTTCCAGGTAAGTGGGGAAGATGCTGTTGGTCTTCCTGCTACAGGTCAGGTGGTCTTGGGCCTTTAGAGGTAAACCTAGAGCAGACTTTGGTCTCCAGTTTTAGTGTTTGTCCCTCAGGCCACATAGTTTCTTGTGTGTCTATCTGCTCATTTAGATGCTATCATGGACAGTATCAGTGGAAATGAGCATCCAGGATATAGTATACATTTGTCCTTAGAGCCTCCAGCTCCGCTTCATTCTTCTATTGCTTTCTCTACATTTGCTCATGGTCATTTCTTCTTTCTCTCCCATCCCACAGTTCCAGTTAGAATTTGCATTTGGAATTTCACCTTATTGCCTTCTTTAATTCCTCAAATGTTTATTTTCCAGTGATCAGGAACCTCCCTATTCAATGATTACATTACATGAAATGGCAGAAACAGGTAATTTTTATTTTTAATATGATCTGATTTTCATTAATAATAAAGAAATGTAGCCACTTTCGTAAAATAAAAAATGTTTAAATGTTCACAGGAAAATGCCCTGGAGTATGGAGATTTCCCAGTAAAAGTGTAATAGGCACCATATATTATATCTTGGATATTCAGTTGCACTTCTCTGTGGTTATTTTATCTTATTTGACATTATGAAAGAAAAGAAAGTCTTTTTGGCATTGATAGATCTTTGGTCATAACTTCTAGAATGGGAAGATAAACTTTATTCCTCAATTTCCTAAGTGTAATTTTAAAAATAGAGCCAGTTGTAATATTTAATAATAGTAATATTTACTTTTCCCAAATAAGTCCTACATGATGGAAAGTGTTTGTTTTTTGCTGGTACCAGAGTTTGAACTCACACCCTTATTGTCTTGCTTGGTTGCTTTCTCAGCTAGCACTTTACTATTTGAGGTGTACCTCCAGACCAGCTTTTTCCTGGTCATTTGAATATGAAGTCTCTGGGCTGGCTTCATACTGATCCTCCTAATATCAGTCTCCTGAGTAGCTAGGATAATACCACTGGTATCCAGCTCTATTACTATTAAATCAGGATTTGAAAACCAAAAACTATAGCTTAAATTTTCTCCATATAAAAATGTCCCTGAACCAGACATCAGTGATTGATGACTGTAATTCTAGCTACCCAGGAGGCTGATGTCTGAATATCAGTGTTCACCCAGCCCAGACAGGAACCTCCATGAGATTCTTGTCTGCAATTAACCATCAAAAAACTGGAGTGGAGGTTTAGCTGAAGTGGTAGTCTTGAGCAAAAATGCTCAGGGAAAGTACCCAGTCCATTAGTTCAAGTCTCAGAACCAACATAAAAAAAAATGTAACTGGGGGCTGGGAAGGTGGCTCAGTGGTAGAGCGCTTGCCTTGCATGCATGAGACCCTGGGTTCGATTCTTTAGCACCACATAAGCAAAAAGAAAAAAGCCAGAAGTGGCACTGTGGCTCAAGTGGTAGAGTGCTAGCCTTGAGCTGAAGAGCTGAG